ATATATATATGTAATTTAGAAAGACAAATTTAGATATCTCACTCATATATGGAACTGAAAAATACTGATCTCATAGAAGTTAAGAGTATGATTGTGATTACCAGAAGTTGGGGACTAGGTGAAATATCACGATGGGGAATTAAAGGGAAACTAAGCAATGGGTACTAAGTGACAAGTAGGAGAAAGAGTTCTGTTGTGTTATTTCACAGTATGCTGAATATAGTGTATATTTCAAAAAGTTAGAAGAACAACATGCATACATACTGAGACATCACGTGACACTCAATAAGCACAGTTCTTGTTTGTATATATCAGTTAAAATAAAAACGAATAAAATCCAAATAAAGTTAAAATAATACCAAGCAAATGCCAGGGATTTAGCTCAGTGGTTCCACCACCTGCTTTGCAAGCTCAAGGTCCCGAGTTCGATCCCCGGTACCAAAAAGAAACAAAAAATAATAAATAGAAGTACTGCATGATGAATTCCAAGTTATTCAATTTCTCAAATCTATAACTGAATTGATATACTCCTCTTATTATATGGAAAAATATCACCACAGAGAATTGGTTAGACTCTTCCACTTTAGATTCATCCATTTTTCTTTCTGTGGACTCTCACAAGTCTGGCTCATTATAAAGAAGGCATGTAAAATGTTGTGATTGATAGAAAATTAGCCTAGGACATGACATAATGTTTTCTACCTGTCTAAAATTTCTTTTGTCTCTGCCTTTAGCCAATTTATCTTGAAATAGAATAATTTTCCACAGACCTATAATTAGAGAAATAATATTCAATATATTTCAGTAATAATTAATGGCAAGTCATTTTGATAATCCAATGTGCTAGTTGTCGTATGACTATTTCCATTCATTATATGTGTGCTAACTAGTTATTTAGTAACAGCCGTACAATGAAATTCTTGTTCCATTCGTAGCTGAAAGTAGCACTATGATCTCGACCATAACACTGTCAGAAAAATAAGTTTTTTGGTCCTGTTTAGTATTTTTGTTACCATGGTCCTCAGAAGAATGAAGTGTGATTTTAATGTCAGTCTTGTTTATAGACTGCAAAGTTTAAAAATATCTAACTTTGAACTTTAAAATTTTCAGTTTCCTGCAACCTGATTGGCTGCATTTGTAACTTCTCCACACACATTACAGCATTCGAACACTGGAAAATAAAATGGCTAATGGACCATACTTGGGGACATAGAAAAGATCAAATTTTGACTGTTTTTTATCTTCTGAGAATACGTAGGACATTAAAATTTTTATGCTACAGTCTTGTGACAAATAATATAATGAGGACTGTATATAATGATCAGTAAGTCATGAATCTTCTTGTGACAGGGATTATAACCGAGAAGAGGAAATACTTAAACCACTGCAATTTTGATCAGAATAAAAGGCTACTTTATTGATGTTTATCTTTCTTTTCTTTTATATTCATGAGACATTTAAGAAAATAGAGAAACATCTATGTTCAAGATGGTTGAATACATTATCTTATAAGCATTTTCTGAAAGGAATATTATGATATAAGGCTAATATTGGTTCAAATTCTACCAGAATAATTTAAAAATAGCAATCTAAAGCCAATCATTGGTTTAAAAACAGATGGCTTGCTCTCACTGAGGACACTGGCATGTACAATAAAAAAGTAATACACTATTCCCATGTATAAGTCATTATTTAAAGAAAATATTTGCATCAGGACTGAAAGATTACTTTATACATACATTCATTGAAACCTGTTATACAGACACAAAGCTCTAAATAAACTGAACAAAACATATTTGTTGTATACCAAAAGGTAAAAATAAAATGTCAAAGCCTCAATTTGCTAATAGTTTTTCTTTGTTGCTTTCTATAGGTTTTCAGTGTTTTGAAATGGCATAGAAATTATAAACCCACACAGGGTGTTAGGAAAAAGATCAGAAGGTTCAAAAGGAGCAGATTGTGTTGGCGGCACATTCTTGTTATAGTGAATTTGAAATGGATTTCTGTAATTGCAGGAAAGTCTTTTAAGCATTTGTCTGAGTTACTTTCTTTGTGAAAGGAAGAAAATCCCATCTTACTGTCACTTACCACACCTTTTGCCAAATTTCTACAGATGCAGCACTGCCATTGACACGATTTGATTTCTTGTCAAACTATCTTTTAACATCTGGCTCAAATGATATTTTTATGACTATAAGCACGCACAACTCCTCCGTTCATTAAGGCTGAAAATTCAGTAAGTGTTTGGTATGCGGGGATTAAGCTACCTCATAGCGAGCAGCTGTCAAATGATTTGCTGAATTCTCCTGCTCAACTCCCCACAGTGAATTGATGGAATCCTGCCAGATTCTGGACATACAGAGTGAGGGGAATTCTATCAAGCACTATCCAGATGCTCATGCTAAGCCTCACACCACTACCTATATATTTAGAATGACCTATTATTAAATAAATGGAGAACAAAAAACTTTGGAAATTCATGTGTCCTTGTTGCAGTAGCAAAGAATCCATTCTATTGAGGGTAAAAATAGATTCAAAACTTTGCTTAAAAGGTACATGTCTTTTGGATCTGTAGATTTGTCAACTTTTAGCCGACTGTTATATCACCTACATCATAACAACTGGATGTAAAAAAGATTTATTTGAATTGTCCCCTGAAGACGTTTCTAATTTAGTGGTTGTTATATACCTTTACTCCGTGTTTTAAAACTCTTTCCTATATAATGAATTAGGTCATAGAGCAGTGAAAGTTTCTATCCTGCAGTCATTGAGGCTGTGGCCATAGATTTGTCACTAGAATTTGGGAAATCATCACCAGGGCAGTTTCATAATCTCTTCAATTTGTCTTTATAATGGAATTTTATAGCCAATTATAAAGAAAAAAATCAGTAATATTTAAGTAAATTCCACATTAATAATATTTTCACTTGAACATAAAAGTTTTGAGACTATAGTAGCCCTTTGTTTACGAATAGTTGAAAGCATCTATCCTGTCCCCCCTTCTTTCTGGACTCTTAAGCCAGCCATATATATATATGTATATATATGATACTGTAAGTGTGGCGAACCTATGGCACACATGCAGCAGCGGGCTGTTTGTATCACTGAGAGCTCTAAAAAGTTTGCCATCACTGCACTACTGATTTAGCAACAGTTAAAAGTAGGGTGCACACACTCCTAAGTTGAAGCAGTGATCTAAGAGGCCTATTTTCTTCTCCCTTCTTATATCCTGACTGCTCATCTTGCTTCTTCCTCTTACTGGCTGTGAAATGTCGGCTCTGATACTCTCATCTTAGCCTCCCCTGGCCCCTTTTATCCTTTATGCATTTTTCTATATTATATGGACTTTGGCCTGCTCGCCTTTAGGAAACTTACTTTAATTTACTTATCTGATTCAGAGGAACCCTTTTAGGCGTAGTTTTCTAGAAATTCCTCACCTTAGACTTGGCCGAACAAGCACCAGCTGTTTCTACAGTCTTCACACAACAAGGCCAGTCATTCTTAAATGGTGATAAATGTTCAACTAAACTATTTAGAAAACACTGACACATTTCTGTTTTAATTGCAGTAAAGGTAGAAAATGAAATCCAAGATGAGATTTCCAAGGAGCCATTTAAGAATGTCACAAGATTTCAAACTTTGGAATCTTTATTGCATCTCCATTTTGTAAGACACATTAGTGCAAAACAGAGGGTAAGGGAGTCTCATTCATGAAAATATGAATGTAACTTCCAGCTCTTCTCCAAACTCTTTTATCTCACTCCCTTTATGCTATCAGTTGAGTGCTGTATTTGCAGATTCAGGAGGTAGCATTCTCCCACATTGAGGACGGGCAAAATAAGGTGACAGAGGAAGACCAAACACTAGGGGAGGGACAAAAGCAATAGGCATCTTGACAACTCCATCAAAACTCAGAGGTCTAGGAGATAAGCAGCAATGAGCATCGGAGCCAAGTAAACCCAGAGCACAGGACAACAAAGGGACAGGTTTTGGTCAATTATCCACAGGATTCCCTGGGCCTCTGCATGTGAAAGAAAGATCAGCCAGCCTTCTGCAGCAGCCTAATCTATTTCCTGGAGGCAACCTTATTATTGCTCCTGATCTAAGGGTGGGAAAGTATGCAGGGGCTCTTATTTGTGGGACTTTAGGTGGAAAGAGTATTGAGCCTCTTGGCAAAGCCATATATGACCTTGTATTATTGCCACCCCTCTTAGAAGCCGAGTTGCTGATTTGTGTGCCGCCCACTATCAGTGCCAGAGGACTGCCAGATACTGCCTGGGATGAACTGATAGAATCCTGACCCTTCTGCCTGTGGCCTGCCTGAACTTCAGAGTTATTTACTTTTGCTCTTGCTAGGAAACCTTTTACTACAGCAGTTGGTAGCCCACATAGGTAACTGAGAGCTTGTGAACTACCCGGAATGTGGGATCCTGTTTTCTGAGTTGGGCAAGCCAGTCGGTCTCCTGGAAGAACTGTCACCAGAATGAATGGAGGTCTCAGTATGTATGATCCTTATCCCTTTTTGGAGTGGAGTTCAGATACAGGAGGGGCACATCATGTTGCAGATCCCTGGTCCTATTTTTCTCCACAGCTGCCATTATGGATGAAGGGCCTTGCTCTGCAGGACTTGCAAAAAAAAAAATGAATAATAAATAAATCAATAAATGTTACTAAAAATGGACATGTAGTGACCAAAAAATACCTGAAATATATAATTGACTCAACTCCCTGACATATACTAGGTAAAAAGAATACTCTCATCCTACACATAGGAAAATATTTCCTTTGTCCAATAACCCTTTCACATGGAATTCTTTATTAGCACCAGACTATACAATTTCCCACCATAGCTGCCTTGTGGCCTTGCTCCATTGCCCTATCTCCCCAAGGTAGAAAAAATATCTAGATGACCAGCATTGTTTCCCAATAGACATATGATAGAAAATTCTGCTCTTTGGGGTGGGGATTTAGCTCCAGTGGTTCTGCTGCCTGCCTTGCAAGCTCAAGGTCCCAAGTCCGATCCCTGGTAGCAAAATAAATAAATAAATGAATGTTTAAGTCAAAGTTAAATGAGTAAATAATATTAAAAAAGAAAGAAAATACTACTCTTTCATGACCATGTGTGTGTTTGTGACCTAGTAAGCCTACTGTTCATGTTCTATTAGATTTTCCTGGAATTTCTTCTGAGAAGAAACATTTTGTTTTCTCCACAGAAGTTGAAGAAAGTTTAAGTAAGTTATTAAACACTGTTGTTTCTCTCTGTGAAGCAAGACACATGATAATTTCTATTAAATATCCTTGTAATTTAACCCCTATCATATCCAAAAATAAAAACATTCTTATGCTTAAAAGCCCACTGTTCAGAACAGGAATTTATACTTTTCTTTCAAAATTACATTTAAATACCTTTTAAAATCTTCCCTCTTAAGTTCAGTGTTCAACATCGAAATTTACGTCCTTCAAATTTTTGCCTGTGCCCTGACCCTCACCCACGTCAACCTATTTGCCCATGTCTTAGTTACTCAATTGTTTACTTACACATTTTCAATACAAGCCATGGAGAAATACTATCAGTATCATCTCCATGAGGTGGTATAGAAATTGAGCTGAATGTCTGCCTGGACAAGCCAACTCATCAGGAGAATTGATTTTCACTTTTGCCTTAGAGAAACTTGGCAACTTGAATGAAACCAGGAACCAAATGCTTAGAAATCTTAGAATTCTATTGCTGGGGTAACCATTTGCTAGGCAAGGGGGCAGCAAAAGGAGCAGGAAGGGTGAAGGGAATGAACTTGTGGTAATGCTTGGAAGCTAAATGTGGGAAAGCTTTTTGCACAGTAGTAAAGGCATTCACTACATTATCTCTGGTGCTCATCAGTTGGAAAGAGAAATCATTTCAAAAAGGATTTAGAACAATCATGAAAGCATGATATGTTGTTATTTCTGAAGATTTAGTCATAACACTTAGTTATCTAGTCTCTTCCTTGAAATTAGAACGTAATCCTTGAGCACTGTACTATGCTTTATCCCATAATTTAAACTTCAAGTTTGGGTATGCATACTATTAACTTAGTGGAGAACAGAGATTTGGGAGGTTAAATTGTTTTTCAAACTATTTAAATGAAATAAAAATAGCAATGTAATAATTCACTGCAAGGATTGTCTTTTCCAATTGATTCACAATTCTTTCCTTTACTCTATTTCCAGTTTATCAGCTATGTGTGCTTGTGTGTGTGTGTGTGAGCACGCATGAGTGTGCAAGCATGTGAATGTTTGATTCCTGAAATAGATAATGCTGGAAATTACTAAGTAGAAAGGGGGAATAAGAGTTGCAAGTGTAATAATTTTATGAATATTGCCTCACATTTTGCCCTGCAGCTTTTCTTTTCACAAGAGGTTTTCAGTGCTTCCAGCCCAAATTACATTCAACTTTCCCATATTTAAGCAATTGTACATTCACAATTTTTATTTTCTGTCACTGATCTATAGATTGATTGCTTTAAAATTACAGTGGTCATCCCCTCATCTAAGATCTCTCTTATTTTTGCAGAATATAGTCATAAACTTCGTTCATTTCCTTACATTTACCTACGGCCGGTGCTGTAATATCTAGACCTTGAATACTGCTGTTTATATTGTTATATGCATATGCTTTTATAACTCGATGGTGAAGTGTATTTCTTTTATTTCTTAAAGATACCATATTCAGACATCATTTTCTTGAATTTATAGGCAAGTGGCATGAAGTTTGGAGAGAAAAAGAGGAGGAAGGCGAATAACGAATAAATTCAGTGTAGTAGGATGAAGGAGTGACCACTGCTGTTAAGCAACAGGACTCATAATAGAAATAGCCTTAGGGGTCTCTAAGTCAACATCTTCCTGCCAGAGTGTCTTGTCTACCTATATATCGTCTATTGAATGTTTTTATCTCGTTGAAAGATGAAGATGGCTTCTTTCCAACATATTTCCCAGAGCCATTCACTGTGTCACTATTAAGAAATCTGTTTATTCTCCAGCTTCAGTTTCTATTCGTGCTTCAGTTTATTATGCTCCTGTCCTTACGTACAAGACTTCTTAGTAGCAATATAATTGTGATGGAGTTTTGGAATCATTTTAGCACTTGCTATATCAGCAGAGAAAATGCAATTGCAATTCATGCTTACTAGTACTTGGTAAGTCATATTCACATAAATAGTTTGCATATGAGAGGCTGCATTGCTTTGCCAGAGTATTGACAACAAAAGCTCAGGAAATAATTTGATGCTTGCTACATGACTGAAATAATAAGCTGTTTTTACTTAGAAATACCTGTTTAGTAAGATATCACCTTAATTCTGTTACATAAGGGTGAAATGTAATACAGGAACCAAATATTTAAGAACAGTGACAAAACCCATGTCTCCAAAGCCATGATGCTCATTACGATTTTCCAGTAGTATCTCAGATTCTTTTTCTAATTTCTTTGTTATTTTATAGACAGCACATATTTACTGCATGCTTATTGCATATATTCACTAGTATATTAAATGTGGATTATAGCAAAAAAGTTGATATGCAAAACAGAATGACCTCAAGTCATATTCAAAATTTCTTGATAAACAAAATGACATCTATAAAAAAATTGAAGAATAGTGCAGAAAAGAATACTCACAGGACATTACTCTCAGGGCATAAGCTAAGAAAACAAGGGAAATTGACAAGGAACTGTCGTGAGTTAAAATGACTGTACATATTTCATGTGAGGTTAGATCTTTAATTATGATCTGAGGGAGGATATACATGGACAGAGCAGGACATGGCACTTTATGCCCAAAGAAAATAATAAGGAATAATAAGGGTAGGAAAAAAGGGCAAATCATGAAATTTTGTAGTTCAGAGTTTTCATCCTAACTACTGCTGATATTTGTCAGAAATATAAAAAAGACAATTGGGCCTGCTAGTGACAGAAATCAGTCAGATAATGAGTAATACTTTACTCATCAGGGAATATTTGAAAGCACTAAAATGTTAAAGTTAAAGATGAAACTAGCATCACCTTAGAACCTACCTTTACACAAAAAAGGTGTCAGGCTAACTCAGTTTTTCATTGAGCTACTCATAAAATGTATACATTTTTGTTTTGTTCATCTGAATGGCTACTTTGGTAAGAAGAAAATGTATAATGGAGATTGAGGACTTGCCAAAAAGTAACTTAGTTGTGAACACAGCTAAGCTTTAAGGTTCATTTAATACCTGTGGCATCTTCTTTTGTGTCATATCTTCATATATTACTGAATATTCTCTCTAAAGATATTGAAAACTCAACTGATACACTAAGTGATGAGCATTCCTGTATATATTTACTTTTGCATAGCAATTGAGAATATGAAAATGTGGTTGTTCTGTCAATGTCACTTGGATGTTTTTCCAAAGAAATGTTGCAGATGTGTAACTGAACACTAATTGTCATTTAAAATAGGTCTTTTCTCTTTTAGTTAAAGAATTCAAGAGATAGAGGATATTGATAAATTTCTCTATTTCCATTAAGTTAATAAGGAGGTGACAAAAACATTGTCATCTTGATCTCTGGGGAAACGCTTGTCAAAAAATGTCCTATTCATTAACTCACCTTCAAAATGCAGCCACATGTGTAGAAATCTTTCTAAGTTCAAGGTATCTAAACAGTTCTTCTAGAAAAATACATCAGATATTTTTAGAAGTCCATGGCCAAATAATTCAGTGTATTAAAATATGTGATTGATGAATGCATTACATCATCCCAAAATGGACCAGGCAGTATTATTCTGTTGTACAACGGCAATAGTCCTGTCCTCACTGCTGTCACCTGTCCCACAGTGTGTGATAAGTGATGAGTATGAGTGGTTGAGAGTGTAGCCATTTCGCACCACCTGTAATGGCAAAGACAACTTATACCCCTTAATGCTTGACATAAAGTTCAATAGACTATTAGTGGTTTTCTAGAGTGGTTTGTTTATTTGTTTGTTTGTTTTTTGTTTTTGTTTTTGGTTTTGTTTTTTTTTTTTGGTACTGGGGATCAAACTCAGGACCTTACACTTGCGAGGCAGGTGGCAGAACAACTGAGCTAAATCCCTGGTGCTTTTTTTTTTAATGTTTTGCTTCATAAACATAAATATATGTTCATACTGTTTATGCATATTTAAACCAAAATAACATGAAAATTAATCCAGAACAGGTGATTTCATTATATGAATCAGAAACTGTCAGAAGTTCTTTCAAGATATATTGCTTAAATTTTTCTTTTTCTCCTGAGAGTTAGAATTGGAAATTAATTTGCAGTGGGATTAGTCATATGAGACAAAAAAGAAGGAAAAAGCAACAAGTTTTTGGACCACATACCATGCATCAGACACTTGATATATAACGTTTCATTTAATGGTCACAGCGAGCCTTTAAGTGAGTTATTACTATAACAATTTTATAGAAAAACAAAAGAGTTGGAGAAATTAAGTAATATTTCTTTCCCTGGTGGCATAGCTAGTGAGTGGCAGACAATATTCACAGACAGCCTGACACTAGATCTTCTTACATTTAAACACATATCCTAGTTGTAGTTCCAGGTTAATTACATAGGTGGCTC